GGCTGATCACTGTGTAATGATAGCCAAGGACATACCAGCGGAATTCATGCCAATAATTTGCCATCTCTGCGCCTCTGATATCCGTCTTCTTGCCATTCTTACTTAAAATGATTTTGAATTCAGAAATTCGGGACTTAAATACGGATTTGATGCACGAGAAAATAGTGCATATTGGACATGAAGAAGGGAGCAAGTTGCACGTGGGGAAAAAAACGCGCCTGATTTAAATGTCACACCTGAACGCTCACATCCTTTTAATTATGTTTGAAATTATGAACATTGCTCAACATCATGAAAATTAAACCTTATTTTCAATAAGCAATACTGAAAAATATTTGGGGGTGCTTAACTGTTTTCCAGGTGTATATTTCACTTTTAATTGTCTAGGACTCTGGGTTATGATTTATATTAGAGAAAATTAATTCATTTGTCATCAATAAAGTAGACAATAAACTTTGATGATATGTTTTTATTAGAGTAATTAGTGCATTATGTCAGTTGACTGTTACTACAATAACAGTTGCTTGAGCTTTAATATATTATGATTGGCAATGCCACCTATGCAGGAGATAACTTTTTTGCTTATGCTAAACTGGCTGTTGGCTTTTGTTAGAAGAGCTATTACTGTGACTACAAAGTATACAAAATTTATTCTATAAAACTGAAATCAACCTGCTATAATCCAGTCTTTTCTGGATGGTGCTGTTACTCAGGCTTTACATACGAAGTAACTGCCTCAGGCTATAGAGATTATGATTGTCTCATTCTGTAGGATACCTGAAGTAAACATCACTTTTCTTTTACCAGTTCATCTTCCTATTCACACATTTTTATTGGGATGGAGCTGTTCTTTGCAAGACTTCATTCTATATCACTCCTAGCATTCTTCTTCTATGTCACTGGTGTAAAGTAAAAAGAGCAAAGGAACTAACACAGAACACTGAGGCACCCCACTTGTGACATCAATTCAGTTTGACTACATTTATAACAACCCTCTGTTTTTTTCCATCTAGCCAATTTTCTATCCAATGAGTCAATCTATTCCCCATACCTAGAGAGATAACTTTTTAACAAGCTTTTTATGTGACATCTTATCAAATGCTTTCTGAAAGTCCAGATACACTACATTCACACCCATACTCTCGTCTATATAAGCAGTAGCCTCTTCAAAGAACATCAAAATATTAGTAAGTCAAGATTTTCCCCCAATGACACCATGATGATTATCCAACAAAGTTTTAAATTTCGTTAAATGACTTTGCATAACAACTTTTATCAGACTTTCAAAAACTTTCCCACCATTCATGTGTAACTAATAGGCCTATAATTACTCAGAACAGTTTCATCCCCACCTCCTGAAAAGAGAGTAACTCTAACCAACTTCCAATTTTCTGGCACCAACTCAATATTCAAGACTTGGAAGCTTTGTAACTACCTATGCTAATGTATGTTTTATGACCAACTTGTCTGAGACAGCTGCACCATCTTATTTTATTATTTTAGTGGAGAATAGTTCGAAATCTACATTCTGATCTCAATATAACCCTTAAGGCTATGTATTTATAAACCCATGAATTAATCTGTTAGTTGATTTCTTAGTTCCAGAATGTTTGACAACATTACAGTTCCCAATTTTTGTGACATCAAATTTTAGTTATTTGCATACCTTAAGCATTATCCAAGTACTTCTGGGTGAAGCCATTAACACATTTTAACGAAATATATTTTTACTTAAAAGTTTTTAATTCCTTAAGTAAATATGCAATATGCTTACACTGTTTGTTTATATGCACAAAGTATCAATATTTTAACCAACTTTCTTTTGATCTTGTCTGGTGTAAAACTTTCAAAATTAAAACAAAAACCTGTAAATGTGTTTTAATAATGCACCTCATGTTCACATTTTCTTTCATTATTCGTTATTAAAATACCTAAAAATGAAAGTTTGTGTTCTATTATGCATTGTGTCAAGATTCTTTAAAAAGTGGTTTACTTGTTCTAGTTAATTAAAAATAACAAAAGTAACATCTACATATCTACTACAGTAAATAGGCTTAAATGTCTCCAGACATTCTTTTCACAACTGACTTTCATAATGTAAAGGAAATTCCTGGCAAGTGATGATGCAAATTCTATATCTCATTGCTAGTCTATATATTTGACTGTAGAGTGTCAGTGAACATAAAATGCAACCATTTGTAGCAAACTGCAACAGTTTGTAACAAGTGTTTTGAAAATTTTATACAATCATTATACATAATATAAGATACTTTGAATCTAACTAGACATCCTTCTTTATATGCCTTGGAGACTCCATATATAAATACTTGAATGGATTCCTGATGGTGGTGCTGACATGCATCAACAACTGGTCTCTTTTTTCTAAAATTTTGTATATGTTTCTGTAACCTTTTTTTTTTTTAGCTTTTGTACAAAGTGATGGTAAATTTGAAAATTTTGTACTATTACTCAATGTATTTCAAATTTTTACATCACAGTCTGATTTCTTCATTGTTATATAATACTTCCTGATTTGGTTTACCATACTTCATTATCACTATGTTAGCACTTTTACAGTGTTTTTATGGCTAATATATTTTTTTTCTATATTGTGATTAATAGACTTATATTTAAAACTGTAATTATTAAAAGAAGATAAACCTATACTGGCTATTTGAGTTCTAATCCTATCAATGACTCACAACTTGGCCAACTTGCTCTAATAAAGATTCAAAATATAAAGCTAATTCAGAAATCTGAATTTTGCCAAATATAAAGCAAACTTTAATTCATGTGCCAATATTTTCTATTTCATTGAGAACATAATCTCTATAATTTTCATAACCTGAAAGTGTATCATATTTGTTATTTTCCTAATGCATCCAATTTATTGTATATTTAGTGAATATTTTGTGTATTAATCAATGTGATTAAATGTAGATTATGCAAGTTAGATACATGTATTTTGAAATGCCTCTTCAAATTATTGTTTACGTGATTTACTTAGTTTTCTTAAAGTTTAATGATTGTTGTTTGATTTGCTTATGTTGGTTTAGAACTTTAGAAGCATAAAACCTGTTAGATATAACATGCTAGAATTGGCTTTTGCTATCTAGCTTCTTCAGTAGTTGCAAGTTCTATTAAGTATCGGTTGAATTTACGATAGTGATGGCCTATATTCCTTCAGTATAAAGCTACACAGCTTAATTCTCTTGCTGACAAAAATCCTAAAAGTTCATTTTTCTAATCCAGTCTAATATTAAGTAAGGTGTTAATAAAGTGGCCAATCACTGCATCAGAACACAGAGTGAAAGATTCCATAAGATATTGTATGGGCAGTAAAATTGATATTTAAAGTATCATGCATATAAAACCATGATTTAATCCCTTCTACAGTGATAGTTATAAACTTAAAATCCCTTATCAAAACTCTATAAACTTGAATTATGATTGATTACTGTATTATGAAATCTTAACACTTAAATTATGTATTTCTAATACATTAATTCATAGTTCAAAATGATTTTAATATCCATAGGGACACCATACAGTATTGTATATGTACACAGTATTATAGAAAATGTTAAGACATCATCTAAAACGATGTTTTTAACAATTTACGAGTTTTCATTAGACGATATAACTCAATCGCCTGCTTTCTTTCTGCTTCCAATCTTCTATGATCAGAGAAAGACAGTTCTTGTCTTTTAACAGTAAGATCCAATTTCTTCTTTTTGTTGGATAATAATGGTTCAGTATTGACATCCTTTGAGATACAATTTTTCAAAAATAGTTGCCTCTGTCCTGCCTGTCAATTCAAAATGAAAAATGTTTAATATGAATACATAAAAGATTAAATAATGAAGTAAGAAAAAATAAGTAAATTTAATACACAAATTTATAACATAAAGGTATCATGTATCTCGATTAACAATTCTAATTATGTTATTGGTTATTGAAAACATACAACTTATTCAGTTACAGCAAGAAATATTTCTTACCAGACTGTAGTAATCTTACTTGTGTATACAAAAGTATGCTAGTTAGATGTATACAAATATTACATTGGCACACATACATACAAGTCCAGTACACAGACTTTAATTTTCTACAAATTGTGTATTCTTAAAAAATGTTTTTATGTGCATGTTCAGAATTATTTTTCTTTCAACTTATTCATACCAGAAAAAGCTAAGCTTTCTAACTTCTTTGCTCAGTTCGTGTTTGGATTCTAAACTTAGAATTTAATTACAGTAAGTTTTACTTTATCACAAATACATTAGATTTGAAATCTTTCTTGATCTTAATTTCTATGCCAAAAATATATGCTAGTGAAATAAATGTATTTATAGCTAACAATAATCCAAAGAGTATGGAGAAGATTAAAAAAAAAATACCATCTTAACTCAAACTGGATTTACAAGCTTATTTTTCAGATATAGTGTGTGTGGCAGATAAACAGATTGCAAACTTCCACATGTTATTTATATGCAGCAGGTAACTAGCTTACAAACTTATGGCTTAGATGTAGCAGCTAGCCAGCTTACAACCTTACCTTTCACATAGCTTAAATGAGCAAATAGCTAGCTTACAACCATACCTTTCACATAGCTTAAATGAGCAAATAGCTAGCTTACAAACTTACCTTTCACATATAATTTACACGTGGCAGCTAGCCAACTTAAAAAATGACCCTTCATGTATAATTTACATGTAACAGCTACCCAGTTTACAAGCTTACATTTCACAAATAATTTACATGTGCCAGTTAGCCAACTTACAAATTTACCTTTCACATAGCTTAAATGTATAGCTAGCCAGCATATAAAGTTTTAAGATATTTTATTATTTATTATTTTTATTTGTTATGTCCCAGTTTTCCACAGATGAAAAATTAACAACTTCAACAATATCAGAAATACAACTTTCATGATATAAAAGACTGTTATTGATTTGTTGTGTTATATAATCATAATAATATTATTTTTTTAAGTTGAGTTTATGATGTCGTATTTTGCATTTGTGATTCGTTGTTGTCGAGAGTGTAGAGTGGCGTGTGAGAACTGATAGTGAAGGGGTGGTGACGATCCGACGATGGGACAAAAGGTATAAAGTGGGCCAGCAGAACAGAAAGAGAGCAGATTGCGGTAAAGCTATGGACAAGTCAAGGTTTATGTGTATGCTGATGTATTTGTGTGTATTTAGTTCAGAATATACATGTTAATATTGAAACAAGTGTAGTGCATGCTGTTCATTCATCGCTGCCTTTACTGTCAATCAGTAACAGACACCTACCAAATAAGAATCCACAAAAACAAAATCTGACAATAACATTTGTAAGAAAATACATTTTGAGATATAATGTTAACATTTTCCTAAACTGAAAATGTATTTCCAATAAATACTTACTGTCATGATATTAAAGACTGTTTGGTTTAAATATTAGTGATTAATTTATATTTGTGAGTGAATATTTTATCATTTTTAAGTTTTGTTATAATAAGAGTTAAAAGCAAATGATTGTAGAAGGTTTTGTTAATAACTAATAGGTGTTGAGAATATAGAAAGTGGCCAGATGACTATGTAATAAAGATATAAGACAAGCGGAAGCAGCAGACAGACAACAATAGACAGATAATAGCAAAAGAGAATATAGCTGTGTGAAGTTAAGTATCGTAGATGTGATAGGCCTAACGTTTAATATGTTAGAGTGAAACTAACAGTATAAAAAAGATAAGGAGGATAATTCTATTCCATCAATGCATGGTTCTAAAGTAATTGAATCAGCCTGGGTACACTTTGACAAAAGGAACAGAGGATCTTCAGAAGAAAGAAGACCAAATGAATTATGGTAACTTGCGCCATAACTGTAAGTAAATCACACACAGAATACTAGTACGATAGTAATATAGAGAAGATAGGTCGACTTGTCAACTGAAATTTTGAAGTAATTGAATAGGCCTAAGTGGACTTTTGACAAAAAGAAGAAAACTATATATAAATAGTGTGTATGA